CGGAGATTGGACAGTACGACGACCCTTCAATTAGCGTCAAATATGCTTTGTTACAACATCATTGATTTGCTGAAAGTCACCTGATTGGAGCACGACCTGGGTAACAGAACCATATTTGTCCGTATTATCAACGGGACTTTGCGAGAGAACCACACCCACATTTTCAACCTTTTTTAGCGCGGAAGTTGCCAACAAATGTCGAAAAACTCGTGAATTTTATGGATTTGAATAAAATAAAGCTAGCGGTTGGTAAGACTGGTTAATAATATATCTCCCGATGCTCTTCGAATTTTTTAAATTTTATTTCAAGGCGAGAAATGGATAATTGAAGTTCCATCGATTTCAAGGCGACTGTTTCACCATGACAACTCTACGCTGTGTTGTAGTTTCACGAGGTAAAAAAATATATATAATGAATAGTACATGTTTAATTATTTGGTTTTACAGCCTGCAAATTGCGGGACATGATCCCCATGAATTACGATAAATAAATGCTGATTATGTTGAATAATGGACGTCAGGACCGTTTGGAGAAACCAACGGGGATCGATATTCCAAACAAATTATTGGGACACTGTCGGAAAGACGAGATTTTTCCAGATATTTATGAACATACTGTCACAACAAATATATGCAAAATTGACAAATACACAAAGAGATATTAGGTTTTATTTTAGCCTTAGAAATATTTTCTGTACTCGGTCCATGCGTGGTACTTCTATTTAGCTTCATGGTCCTTTGGCTTGTGTTCTCCTTGGGGGAAATAACAATAATTATACAAATCATCAACTCAACACAGTCAGGAAAAGAAACCCAGACAACCATGTCGTACTTCTGTTGAAATACATTTTGTAGCAGTGCGTCACGTCAGAATAAGTTGTTTAAAATAAAATCGTCAATCCCAGCCAAATCTAGGTCAAAGGATCAGATTGCGTGCATATAATTATAGATAGTTAAAACAAAAAGTATTTGAACTTTTGACGGTTGTTTAACATCTATGCACGATTACTAAACTAGTAACCGTGATCTATGAAAACCATAAAATTGTTAGTAGTCCGAATTTTTGCAGTTGAAAATAAAGCGGAAATTCAACAAGCGGTCGCAAAAGCGAGCGATTGAAAAGCAGAAGCGGGCGAGAGGTTGGGCGAAATGAGTTCTGTACCTCTTTGTTTGATGAAGCGATGCTGATGCCACATTGTCGCCATAATGAGGCCACAATGAAGCGAAGCGATAACCGCCTAACTTTTTAATGTCGCGACATTGAAGCGATGCTAAAGCCATAACAATGCCATAATGATGCGATGCTGAAGCGAAGGTGAAGCTGAAGTAAAGCCAAAGCTTCCGCGAGAACTGTACTGTAGTTACCAACTTCAATTTGTTCGTACAAATTCATATCAGCACTATTGCAGATAGACATTCACACAGTGTTATATAAGACATTGCACACTAAATCTGATCAACATATTTCATAACCATATATGGTCATGTGATCTCACAGATATAGAGGTTCAACCACAAAGATGCAGAGGAATATGCAATTTCTGATGGAATTTTTGTTTTGTGCGTATGGATGACAACATAGTGACCAATTGTGTCTAGTCATTACTCTGTGGTGGGTTTTATTGCATCTCTGTTTGGGTTTTGGCATAATTGTTATTATTTCATTTGTATCAGCAGGACTTACAGCTCTCCAGTAGTAGTGGTTTTCATGTGCAATCAAAAAAAGGTAAGGATTATGCAAAAAAAGAAGAGATTATGCTTTTAGACCTAACAATTTTTTGTATGTAATCAATATCGCATCAACATATGATATATATGTTCAATGTTTAATATATATTAAATAATGATTTGAATATATGCATTAAAGGTTGGTTTGGATCCACAAAACACATCCTCTGAAAAAAGAAACCATGCTGGTGCACTTCACAATAAACTGTGACAGAAAGCACAATTTTTGGCCTTGTAGCATAATTACTTTTGCTTGGTGTTTATTTGCTTGTATTTTTAGTTCTGCTATCGACTCTGTAGAGCGGAGCTTATCATATGAGTGATTGTCCGTCATCGTCGTCAGTGTCAACGTTTTACTTTTTCGGCTTCTTCTTGAAAACTACAAGCCTGAATGCTTTGATACTTAGTGTATATGTACCTTGGGTAGGCCTCTCTTAGTTCATTTTATGATATCTTCAATTCTCCAATTTTGATGAATATTTTTGACTTCTTATTAAAAAACGCAAATCTGATTGCTATGATATTACATATATAGGTACTACAGGTAGAACTCTCTCAGATTTGTTCATTTCATGATGATGTCTTCAATTCTCTAATTTTGATAAATATTTTTGGTAAAAAGTTATATTTTCGACTTGTTGTTTAAAAACCACAAGTCCAATTGCTTTGATATTACATATATAGGTACTACATGTGGACCTCGCTCAGATTTGTTCATTTTGTGATGATAAATATCTTTAAATATCTAAATTAAATTAAGTCGTGCCCGACCGTCTGTCCGTGTGTGCATATGTGTTACCAGCTTTTTCTCACACATGTGTGATCCAATTCAGTTCAGAATTGGTACAGAGACTGGAATTGATGTTGTACAAGTGCACATCAAGTTATTTTTTGATTGAATGAATTTTGACTGGTTGGTGGCCATTTTTGTCAAAAATCTTTACAAAAAGCTTTTCTAGCTGTTACCAGCTTTTTCTCGTACATATGTCATCCAATTCTGCTCAAAGTTGGTACAGAGACTGGTAATAATTGTTTAAGTGCTCGTCCAGTTATTTCTTGTTTTGATGAATATTTTTGTGAAAAGTGATATTTTTGAATTCTTGTTGAAAACAGCAAGTCCGATTGCTTTGATACTATACATATTGTTCATTTTCTAATGATATCTTCAGTTCTTTAATTGAAATGTGCATTGCTAACAGCGGAGCTATCTCGGCCGACAGGCTGCTTGTTTTTAGATTCACTCCAGAGTGAAGTGTTTTTACAGCCCTCTAAAATATTGCCCCCTACTATTCTATGTTGCTCTGCAAATCAACAAGCACAACAAACATTAAACTGATGCTTAGTCACCAGACAACAGCTGAATAACAATTATAAACTAGTTTCCAGATCATAAACTTGATACATGATGTTACAAAACATGTAGGTTATTGGTGTCACTGTGACATTCAAAGTTAATCAGAACTTCTACAACGTTTCACTTTCTCGGCGTATAAAATATCAGCGTACTTCTCCACCAGAGAGTTCAGTAGGGCACAGCATCCTGCTTCTGCGTCTCTGCCAATTTTTTTGCTGAATAGGAAAACACTTTGTTTTCAGGTTTCAAAGATAAAAAATTGAAAAAAGCAGGGAGAAAACATGTTCTAGAAGCTGCAGCTAGTGTAAAAAAGAGGTATCAGAGTAAGCTTGGAAAGAACAGTAAACTTAAAATAAAGGCAATAGAAGATGACAGTGCAAAGTAAGTAGTTACACTTCACCATGGAGGTAAAAGACAGGAGTTACAACTGCTTTAAGCTTATTTAATTTCCTTTGTTTCTAGTTTAGTTAATCCTCTTGTCTGTTTAAATGTCCTTTTGATACTGTAAAGGGGGTAATTATTCACTGGGTTTTAATTTAGCTTATTTCGCTGACTGGAAAAATGCGCTAAATTAAAACACAGTGAATATGTAAAATTTAGCATAGAACACATTATCTAAATGACAAAACCGTGAATTTAAAACCCACTGAATATGCCTGAGATGGTAAATCAGTGAAATTTAAACCCAGTGAAAATTAGTCATTTTACAGTACCCATGATCATTTCCAATGCTTGTGTTCACTGTCCCCATAACCAAGGGCAGGTCTTTTTTTCTCTTGATTACTATTTGGTGTTTTACGAGAATAAAAGTAATTTTACTTGCGCGTCTAGAAAGAATGCCATTGTTATAACAAGTTTATTCATGTTTGAATTTTCAAAATCGACCGATCTATCAGTAAGTTGTGTTGTTTTCCTGTTTTTTTCGTGGAATTTCTATAGGTTGCTTCAACTGCTGTTTTCATAGGGTTGCACCAAATTGGCCTACTTATGCGTTAGTTTAAATTGCCTACTTTACGATCTTTGCAATGGTGTTAAAACTATGTTCCTCCAGAGTACTCCGCACATGCAGTAGACGTTAGAACTTTAACTGTTTTCAAGGTTTTTTTGTTGTTAACGTATTGCATGATTTCAGGGCACATCTTTCGCTATTATCCAGGCGTTATGTTTTTGAGACAAAATTTATCTTCTTCAATCGCAACTTCTTCAATTTCATTTACTTCCGTCTTCACGAATGCTTTCCAGCGACACCATTTTAAATAATGTCCTTTGGCCCGGCGGTTTTTTGAATAATCCCTGGGACTCTCAAAGTATGTCCGTAATATGTTGATTCATCTGTAGATAATTTGTTTGCTGGAAATAGTGGAAATGATCATGGAACCTTTGATCCTAAACCAGTTGTCACTCCTCCTGTCTTTTACCTCCATGACTTCACTAAGTGTTTGTGTTGACGTTGATTGCTTCAGTATCACTTTCTCAGTCGGGCATTCAGCTAGCTGTTTTCTCCATCTTACTTTTAGACCTACAATCTGTTATTATATAGATAAAATATTAAATTGAATAATAATGATCAAAGTTTACTACTAAATACTGTTTTTATTATTTTAAGTTGTCTTCATGCCTCACATTTGCTTTACATTTGTTTTTCTTGTTGGCTATGAAATGATGGTCTCATGATATGACCAAATAATTGATGTTACAAATCATTAAATCAACCAATGCTGCTGTTTGCATCTCAAGAGACAATTCTGCCCATATCTTTGTTATTGAGGGGATACAGTTTTCCTCTCATCTTTGGAAAGCATTTTGAAATACAATTGTTTTTATAATCATCAGGTCTCTGTCGTGTCCATATCCTGGATGTGATGGCTCGGGCAATGTCAGTGACAAATTCAAGTCTCACAAAATGTAAGTATATATCATGTGCGTCTGCCTTTCTGCCTGGTTAGTTTTGTGTATGCTTGTTACTCTCTGAATAGAGGCTGTATTTATATGAATAAATAAAATGTTGTGTATGTATTGTAGTAAGCTGAGTGGACAACATAGCTTTTGTGATATTTCGATTCACTATTTCCATCACTTCATTGCACTAAAGGTATACTACTTGATACTGATTATGTGTATCTGATTTGTGAATACAGTAGTAAACTATTACTAATGCCAGTCTCATGTAATACCTCGTTGTCAACAGTGGAATACTATCGTGTTTATAGAGTCATTAATAAAGAGTTTCCGTTCACCTTCCCTACTAGGTTGTATGCATGTCCAAGGTGTCCACCTGAAGAAAGACCACCACGTTCTAACAACCGGCGGTCATCACTATCTAACCTTCAATCACCTGGTAGGGATCGAAAGCAAAAGCAGTCCTCATCCCCTGGGAGGAGGGGGTCTGTGTCAAAGTCAGAACCAGTGACAATCAGCAATTCAGATGGATCCTCTGGGGATGAAAGAGAACCCATTCCATCCCAGGAGACGAGTCTGTACACTCCTAAAGTCAAACCTAAAGGCCTCATAGATGGCCTTACAAAATTCTTTACACCTACAAACAAAAGAAAAACACGTGTATACCCTTCACATTTGGCTGATTTTCGAATACTTAAAGGGACGATGAAAAAGAAATCCAAAATAAAGCATATTAGCAAAGAAAATCAGAAAGACAGGGACAGGGATAGTAACAATAAGAGTACTGATAGTTCTAATGCTAGTTCACTCTCATCGACATCCTCAATATTATCACATCCACCACAAATGTTGAAGTCTGGTAGTGGACAGTTAAAAGGACTCTTTGATGGGCTTTCACATCTTTATAATCCTCCAACTGAAACTCGTAAACGAGGAGCTCCCATGTATGTACCTCCCAGACGTGGAAGACGACCTAGCTCGGCTACATCAGCAGCATTTCAGCAGCCTGCCAAATTGTCAAGTGCCTCCTTAGGACTGGAACCTGTTTGTGCAGCTGTTAAATCACAATCCTCCACACAGGGTGAAGTGGTTACAAAATCAGTCCCATCATCATTATCATCCTCTGCAGCACGGGGGAGGGTTAGCGCTGCGTCATGTGGGCGCAGACCTGCTACCCCGACCCTACAGTTGACAGACAACAAACAAAGTGTCAGATCCAGTGGTATTATTTCAACACCTATTGCAACCTCTGCTGGTCGGGGGTCTGCTGGTCGTGGAAGGGGTCACAAACCCTCTGGTAAGAAGCTGAGTTTGCTGATTGACTGACTGACCCCATAGATACCCTCTTCCTAGTGATAGTCGCATAGAATAGCATGTAGTAGTAGTGAGCCTCTGTGGTGCTTGCTTGGCCATCTTCTCACTTTCTTTTGCCTGCTGTGTGTCTGCCATGCCTGCCTGCCTGCCTGCCTGCCTGCTTAAACTATCCTACTTTGTTCATCTGAACAAACTGAGTTTGAATGTCCTTCAGCATTGTGTGGAGACGTTGGAAGCAAGAAGCTGTTTCACTGGTTCACACACAAGCAGTAAGAGAGCATACATCTTTGCATCCATCCTGGAAGAAGTGGTGCACTGTATGTGAGCGAGGATGTAGCAACATGATGGAAACTGACGGAAGATGCCTGTGATGTTATGTTCTTGAGAGGCCTGCCTACCTGTGGATGTTAATTACCAGCCTAATGCGGCATCGTGCAGTGCCCCACGTATTCTCAGGGTGGATGTGTCTAGAAAACTAGGAATTTAAAAACATTAAACATGCTCTATTTGAAAATTATTGGCATTTGAGCTCAGTTTCTTTTTCTGCACTGACTTGCACTGTGGTTCATCTTTTGTTTTCTAACGGGCATATTGGCTGTCGTGCATGTCACATCTTTTCTTTCTCAGTCGAGTCTCTTTGTTGTTGCTATCCCCTGTTCATATTATGTGTATTGTGATTAGGACCATCCAACATTGGCCATTCCATCATGCATGGAAATTTCAGAGAAAAAAAATTACAAAAACAGTCAATATACAATCATGCATGCATTAAGAACTTAATCAACAGTCATACATATTGTTTACAGCATAACCATTGTAATGCATGAAAAAAAAAATAAACCATTGCCATTGTGTTTTGTAACATGTATTACAACAATTTGAGATCTAATTTCTATCCCCCTCCATCCAGTAGTAGGACTAATAAGTGTCAGTCAGTGATCATAAATACATATAACACTGGTCAGTTGAAAGCCAGACTCTACTATATAGACCTTTTGATGATAACCACTAAATTGTGCCGACTTGTACAGCAACCTTGGGACTGGATGTACAGACCCATCTGTTTGTTGTATTGCTTTTTGTTGTATTGATTCTCCACTTGACAACTTATTTGCATAGTCTGTTGCCGAGTCTGAATTTCAGTTTACTGGTCCCATTTCATTCCATTTATTGTATCTTGGGGACACCATGGAAATTGGACATGAAGCAGCAAACAGAATATCGAAGTGAAACACACCCTCCTCAAATCTACATGATGGTAGCTACCAAAGAGACAATGTCTTAACTCAAAAATAATTAGCAAAATATGAATTGAAAATATGATTGTTTTTCAAAATTGTGTGGATTTCACTCAAAAATCTGAATGATGTTTCATTACTACAATTTTTATTGGTTTTAATTCTGTTAATCTTTTACAGTCATTTATTGTCTTCAGCCAGCCAGTAGTGAGGGGGTTCATGATCAGTCAGTCAGATAGTATTTTTTTTTACTTGTTGTTTTTGCATATTTTATTTGATAATTTATTGCTGCAGTTTTGTCAGTCATTGTTAATTATTTCAAATTTAAGATGAAATCTGTGTCTGATTTTGCAATATGTTACTAGGGTGGTTACAACAACAACAATCAGCATTGAATTCATGGCTGACTAATCTGCATCTGTCATAGAATGTCATGCTGCAATTTTTGGGATCATGAAAATAGGAAATCGTAGACACAATCCTATTTTGTTGGTTGGTCTATTAATACCAGCTATTATCTTGCCTCTAGGCACATCAATCAAAACTACTATACTATCACCACACTAATTAATTTGACATTTTTTTTCTCTCCCACATTCAATTTGCCAGGTTCACCAGGATCACCGCCAAACAAACCTAGGTCCTCACTACCACGTGGTGTTACAGAACATGATGTCAACATGTTCAAAAAAGCACAGGAAAAAGCTCTTGCGGTAATTATGCCACAGTATACGCTTGGTGTAAGTGACTAATTTTGAAACACCCCCCTTGTATGTATGTATGTCAACAAATATATAATTTTTGTGTGCATGTTCATGTTTTGGGTATTGTCTTTATCTAAATGCACGTTTGTTTTTCCTAACTGGCATGTCTAAAATGACTGTTATCCCATAATGCAGTGCATTCCAGGTTGATCGAATCATACTTACACCAAACTGATACTTGTGATGTATTGTCATCAGTGTACATTAGGTGTGCATAGAAATCTTGCTACCTGGAATGTTAGTAATTATAAAATCTTGGGAGGGGGGTTCCTGTTACATCTTATTTGGAAATAAATTATCATTCCTAAGTATTCCTAATGATGATGTAGCACAAATTATATGCACCTATTTTACACTGAGGCTGTACTATCCTATATTTTTTCAACATTGCAGTGAATGGTTCAATGCAAAAAAAAAAAATGATGGATACCATGAAGGCTTTACACGATGTACTGTTTACACTGTTAGCTCCATCATTGCTATCATATTTTAATAATTATGTTTGTCTTAAACCTTGTTATTCTGAAGCTACCCACGAATCTAAACATTTCTAAAAATGCCGATGGAAATTTTTGAATATTTTGAAGGGTGTTCAGGTTAGGCATCTTGGCATTCTTTCTGCTTTTTTGAGCCTTGATTAATGTCTGAATAGCCGATTGGTTTGATTTTTGTTGAGTTACGATTGCTTTCTTGTGATGTAACCTTAGTGACAGCTTTGTCACTAATCTGTAATTAGGCTCTTTTAAGGGGTTAGCATACGTTTAATGTGTTTTTTTTCAATATTTTTTTTTATTTTAAATTATTGATGGTTATGACAGTATCTATGGCTGTGCTTTTAGTCTAAACAAAAACTCCATTTTATAAGGCATATTTCGACGTTTTTCTATTTCAAAACATTGCCACGTGTGATTGTTTATAAACACCACCAACATAAGCACAACACTCGCATGAAAGTAATCCTAATTGACACTTGCTGAAAAATCCGATTTGCATATCAATACTAGAAAGTTTATGTAATTACGGTACCAATTTCGCCCAACCTTCCGCTTTTACACCCACAGCTTATTGCTTGATTTCCGATCGCGCGGTCTTGTCCGACCGGAAACCGACAGCATTTTAATCGCTCTTTTTTTTCGC